CATCATAACAAATTTCACAATTTGTATTGAACACTGGGAACAAAATCTTCCAGATTTTCGTTCCAAAGTCATGCACATATGCCATTCTTTTCCATTATTTACTAACACATACAATTGCAACACAATATCGGCCGTAAACACATAAATTGATGTTCATAAGTACAACATACCAGATCTGCTTTCTCCCGCTCTGTCTGCTGTCCTCGCCTCTGTTTCGGAACCTCGTCACCGGCCATCGGTGCGCTTCAACTGCTTCCCTTGTTTTCGTCTTCCACCTTTTTACGCTCAGTTCTCGGAATCCCTGTTGCACTTTCCGGATGGCAGAACGGGGTTGAGTAAATGGGGTGGTTGCCTTTGAAACTAGATTCCCGAGCCTTGCGCCGGAAAAACAGTCCATAATAATTGCCGCGCCGCGTTTCCCTATGTTTTCGCCCTCTCTCCTCGTAGGATTCTGGCCGGTTTTTTCGAAAACTTCCTTAGGCTGAAAAGTCAATTACTTAATATCGAGGCTAAAATTGGAAGATCATCAGCTTTTTAATCCTATGAAACTTGACTCACGGAAGAGGTCTTATTTGTGCACATTAAAGTACAATTAGTCCTACTTAGGTAAAAAACTCTAGAATTTATCAAAAACCTTACGGGACATAAGGGAAACCTAACGTAAAATATTCAATATTAATAGTGGCAAATATTTATATTTTTTATTACTCTATTTATAGTAGCAATCAAATAATTTAAAACATTTATTATATCTCGAGTTAATAAATTGAACTATACCAATTCAAGTAGTCAATTAATAAAGTAAATATTATTATTGCATTTTTGAATTATTTAATTAAATATTTTCCACACTCATGATTGAAAACATGTTGTCTACTCCCTCCGTCCCCTTTTAAATGTCCCGGAAGAGGGTGACACGAGTTTTAAGAAAAGTAGGTTTGTGTGGTTGATATTAATAGATAAAGTAAGAATAAAGTAAGAATAAAGTAAGAATGATTTTGAGCCACACAAACTTTACCAAATAAGGTATGGGACAATTAAATAGGGACATCCCAATATGGTAAAATGGGACATTTAAAAGGGGACGGAGGGAGTAGTTCACAACGTTGATGAGCATCCATATTAGAGCATCTTCAATGCTAAAACGTTAACGGTGCATACGTGACATGAGAAATAACCAATTAAAAAACAATCAGTAGAATATCTCTCTCCTTATTTGAAGGATCTTACATAATTTTGGTAAGGTTTTCTTGACAATGTCAAACACAGTGTCTAGATGTAGACATTGCGGTTGACATTGCAGACAAAAACTTACAAAAAATACATAAGACCGTGGAAAGAAGGAGAGAGAAATGTCATAAAATTAATATTTTGTGTCTATATCTCTCATGCCACATGTGCACCGTTCACATTGTAGCATTGAAGATGCTCTTAGTGTTTAAACTAAATATTACCCATTTGTTACTTTGGGAATAAATGATGAGAATTCATTTATAGATTTACAGGATATTGATCAATCTTGTAACTTTGGTAATAACAGATTTACTATGCAATTTAACCATTTTAATATATTGCCTCCATGTAATTTCTAGTATAGTGGTTTCTAGGACAATCTAATTTAAATTTTTACCCTTATTTTGGGCGAGATTTTTCCCTCCAACAGTTGTGCGCCCACTGTTACTTTATATTATATAAAGAGATGGGAGACATGAGGAAGTTGCATCCAAGCTTCCATTCTCATTGCTAGAGAGTTTCCTAGATATCTCCAAGAAATCTTCTCCCATGTTCATATGTTGGAGACCTCCTTCCAAGAAGGTGATAGATGCCTCTTGGCAATTTCCAAGAAAGAAGGTGGAAGATTCCTACAAACCCCTGTTTAATAATATCGGCTTGAGCAAACAGTTAAGCACCAAAATACAGCAGTTAAGCAGCAATCCGCCGAAAAACAAACGTGACCCTAATGTAGTCCCTACTTCATTACTTCTCCATATTTGCTTCCTAGGGATGGCAACGGGGCGGATCGGGGACGGTTTTACATATAACCGTACCCGCCCCGTTTGGTAATTCCCCCGCCCCATAACCGCCCCATTACCCAACGGGTAATTTTTACCCAAACCATAACCGCCCCAACGGGTAACGGGTAACGGGTATAACCGCGGGTAATCACTTTATTAAATGTGTCATTGGTATTTTAATATAAAAATAATGTTTTAAAAGGCAAAAAAGGGCATCACCTAGATGACTCTGGACTCAAACGTCACTTTAAAGTTTCGCATATCTACAAGACGAGAAAGAAGACAACCTAAATGAGTTTGAATCTAAAAATACTTAATCTGAAAAATAATTAATCTCGAAATAATCTGATAATAATCAAACAAGACTATTAAGATCTATTATGAATTTTCCTTCGTACACTAGAGTTGGTACATTTGTCATTGATATATACACAAAGAAAATAGAAAATTCCCATCTTTTAGTTGTGGGACAACTAATAGATGAGAATGTAATAAAAATATAACTAAAAATAAACGGGGCGGGTACGGGGCAGGCAATGGGACGGACATGTATAAAACCGTAACCGCCCCGTTACCCGTAAAAACAAAACGGGTATTCCCCGCCCCATACCCGTTACCCGGTCAATGCGGTTTTCCCCGGTTTGACCGGGGCGGTTCGGTGCGGGTATCCACCGGATCAGTTACAATTGCCATCTCTAGTGCTTCCTAATATCCTTGGTGAGTGGCGGAGGAGAATATTGGGATGAGTCAGTACACAAAATATTTTTGAATTTTCTTAACGATATTTACCTTAATAATGTAAATAAAATTGAAAATTGGGTGAGTCGGAGCCTAGGTTTCTCCCGTAGCTACGCCCCAGTATGTAGTATATATATAAGTAATTAAGACTTCAAGAGAGAGTAAAACACAAGTGTTTTGATGTTTCAATTCTTACAAAGGAATAGTGTATTTGAGCTCAAAACTAAGTGAAGAACACGAATAAATTCGTGTTGGACGTGTATTGGTGCAAACCACCTGCCAACTATATATATGGATGAATTTGTTGTGTATTGGAATAAATTCATGTTGGGCATTAATATATTGAAAACTATCCATTTAAAGATGCATTAAAGGAGATCGAAGAACATTGGGCAATAATTGTTGTAACGTTTCAGAAGCTTTCTGGTCCGAAGCCTTCTGATGCGGAGCAGAAGAGTTTTGGTCCGACCAGTTCTTCTTATCTTTGAAAGATAGACTTTCGAACGACATTCATGTCCGCAGGTCGCCCCCGCACGCAAGTTGCAATTTTTCTTCTCCGTTTTCGGGATTTAATCTGCACCCCTGCGTGTGAAGAAAGTCTTTCCACATAGGAATTTAACTTCTTCAAAGAGGGTCTCCTTGATAATGGGTGGAATAAATCACGCTAGAAACCCATCTTTTTCCAAGTTTTTCTATTTCAACGAGTAACTTCGAAAATCAATTTCTTATTCACCCGTTATTCGTTTTGAGTGTACCACATATCGCATCGAAGCCTTTTAGCAAGGAGAATCTGAAACCACTTTGACCCGACCCATATCGAAAGTGGAACTCGCTCAAAACACTGCCCCAAATTGCCCGTTTAATGTAATTTTAACACATTCTTTCAACAACATTTTATTGTGTAATTTTGCAATGGTGTGACACTGTGATCAACCAGATCAACAAATTCGACCTTTGTTTGCATGTGATAATTTATAGACATTAGACAATAATGTGGGGGAAGGGGGGTCTACATATATCGATAGTGACAAGATGTTGAAGGAATAAGAACGGATTATGGTGCAGGGAAAATATTGAACACTACCCACACCCTTTATGTACCATATTCCCCATACACCCCACACTATTCATGACCAAACCCGACCGCAAATTAATGCATCTCTTCACAAACAATTATGTTCAACCCTAATCCTTAATTAACTTTAATCATTTGAATCATCTTTATTTCATCTGTCCTTAATTAATTGGTGTTTTAACTTATTTGCTTTCAGTTGTAGTGTGCGTACCTTATGTCTGATTTGTGGTGGACATTGAGGTAGTACCCCGAAACTCATAAAATTGGAATTTCGAAAGGAGCTGAGCAAGCTCAAAACGATAATAAATGTATGTTACATTTTAGAAATTGTAAATGATAATTTCATCATCACAAATTGTAACTATAACAAACTATGCAGTTTAAAAGGGTGTAATGTTACATTGTTAATAATAAAAACATCGACACTATGTGTTACTATGTGTAAATTTCTGTGCGTAAATTTTATACTCACTATGTAATAATGTAATATGGTCATATGGAGTTTCCTAAATTATATGTTACTATGTAGTTTCCTAAAATATTACTAACAAATAACATGTTGACAAAAATGTAACATTTAAATATAATTATAGTTACTAAAATTATCAGAATCACATTTTTGTTCACCACCTTTATTTTGGTTATATGTTTGGAATTATTTTGTTTTAATTGGCCTCCATAAGGAAAAGACGACCTCGTTATACAAGACATTAATTGGTTCAAGTGTGGTGCAAATGTGCAATGTTTTTCCCGTCTTTTTGCCTACCCCTAAAAACCAACTAGGATGAGTAAAAAAGAGTTCTTTTTCATTGATGTATCGTTATATGATAAAAATCTTACACATACAAAAGCAGTTCTATGGACCTTGGGAGGGGCCATTATTAAAAATTGCAGAAATTAAATACGGAGTATTTTTTTAGAAGCATTTGACTCCCATAAAAAGACATCAATTATTAATTAAATTGTTATTTTTGAGCAGCATTGAGTTTCTAGTTCTAGGCTTCTAGCTAATAAAGAAAACAGGAGAAGTTGTACACCAAGCAAAAAGATAGCTTTTTTTAAAAAAACGTGTACATTTCCTAAAGTCTAAATTTACTGAAAACTTTAGCCCAAATTTGCGGGAGAATAAATAGCCTTTCCCTCAACAACTCAAACCATTCTCTCCTTTCCAGTATCTCTCCCATGGCAAGAATTTATCCTCAGACCCCATCCTCCTCCTCTTCACCATCTTCTTCATCTTACATCACCTCAAAGCGTGAGACGTTTACAGTGTGGATGAAGTCTCTTGTCTTCCATGGCAATGGATGCACTGTTTTCGACTCTAATGGTGAGATTGTGTACAGGATTGATAACTACAACAGAAAATGCAGCAGAGAAGTTCATCTCATGGATCTCCATGGCAAAGTACTCTTCTCTATCAGACGAAAGGTACATCTTTTTTACTTCTCTTTTTATATAATCACTCTGAAAGGCCTAAAAAGTAGAAATAAAAAAGCTAGTATGCATCAATGTTGAATAGACTTTGACCTGTGGTTCATAACTTCATATGCAGAAATTTTCAGTTTTTGGACAGTGGGATGGCTACAGATGCAACAACAGTGAAGTGGTTTGTGAAGAAGTACTATGCTTTCGAGTTAGAAGAAGTTGGAACGTTTTGGGAGGAGACTCGAAAAGCTACTATGTCAATCCAGCTTCAGATCAACCACAAGAGAACTGTTATGAAATCATTGCATTACCTGGAAAATCAACATTCAAGATTGTCAATAGAACAAGAGTAATAGCAGAGGTTTGTGCTTCTCCCATCAATCTTAAACAATGTTCCAGAATATCCTAGACGGATCTGACAGAGTAGAAGGGAATCAGGAAGAATAAAAATGGATCAGTTAGTTGTTTTGTAATAATTCCGTGTCATACAAATATAACAGTACAAACAAATACTACGTGCATGTGGCTTCTGTTATTACAAAATGGGTCGTTTAAGATGGAATCTGAAGTCTTAATAGAGTCGAAAAAAGTCGAAAGTTTTTCACTCTTTCCCTTCTCTTTGTATATCATTGCTAACCTTATGCAATGTTGGGGTTTGCAGGTGAAACAAAAGCAGGACAATTCTGGAGTTACTTTTGGGAATGATGTGTTAACTTTGATGGTAGAGCCCCACTCTGATCATTCTCTAGTTATGGCTCTTGTGACAGTCTATGGATTGATCAACAAAAAACTATGAAAGAGATTCTGTACTCATTTATACATTTATATTGACAAATACGTATATGTGAAGGAAACTTACATGAATCAGTCAGAGGATAGTAGCATACACTGTTTAGATCCTCAAAGAAATTCTAACCAATTATTTTCTCGTCATCAGCCTATGGCATCGTTTGGATTTGATGAGAGTTTCAGAGAGTTATCTATTTACCTTATTTATTCTTTTTATCCATTTTGGGGTGAAATCCATAGTTTCTTACAATACAAAAAAGTCCATCAACAATTTAAAAAATGGAAATGCCTTGTTGAGATAGGTATAGACACAAAGCCTTGTTTATGGACCACGACTGACCAGATTTTTAACTAGAAACTAAACGGGTAACCAGTCATGAACCGATACTAGACATACTGGTAACCAATTATTTTCCAGTTTGGTTCTGGTTCCTCCAAAATAAAACTGCACAGGCCAGTTCTGATTACTTTTTAAGGTTACAAAACGGTTAAGAACCAAACAAGAACCGATTTGTCTACCTGACCTGGGGCTGGTCTGGAACTGGCATTACCTATTCCATCTCCAATCCTAAGTGGAGCTAAAACTTTAAGTCTGGAACCGGAACTGCCGAACTGGCTTGTGTACAACTATATTGAGAATAATGTCACACAAGCAACTCCTTCAGTATTATGCAAAATCTGTGAATACATATAGTAGAAATCTTCACAGCAAGGAAGGCCATTGTCAACATTGTTATAAAATAAATATATATAATTGACATACTAGATATATATATATTAAAAAATACCCTTTGCAAATATACAACTTTTTCTCTTTTTTGAACTTGAAGTTTTAATGAAATGAAATTGCATGTGGATAGAAACATAAAATATAGTTTATTCAAGGACTCTTTTTTGCACTTTTAAGGTTCCGAACTTTCATCACAAGCTGCTGCCTTTCACCTTCTACCTCAGCAAACTTGAGGCTTATTTCAGAGTATCTCTCTTGCATTTCCTTCAACTCAGCTTCCATTATTCCTTTCCTCTCTCTCAGTAATCTAACTTCATCCCATAATTCGTTATTGCTGAAAATGCAAAAGAAATATTTGCTCTTGAGACTTGAGGGTTCAAAAGTGTAAAATACAAGACAACTAATTTATGTAACAAAATCTTACTTTTGTTTTTGTGAAATATTTTCAACAGATTCATGCAACACTCCCTCCGTCTATTAATGTTATTAGTGTGACTTGGTGTGTTTTTTCTTTTTTGGCTATTTAACTTCTGAATCTGCCCTTAGATTAATGGTTGGGACTTGGAGTAATAATGGTGATAAGGTGAAGATATTATATGGGATCATAAAGTAAATAGACAACCCATTTTTTATTAGGACTTTACTCATGGGCGGGTGAAAAATTGATGTACTGACATTATTTTGGAAAATATCAATTTTGAATTTGTGGATATACCTATTTCGTGTTTCACTTGTTCCTGAAATCAGATCAAAGTCTTCTGTACCTTCCTGCATTGTTAGTAATGAACCATTAGCTCCACTTTAAGTGTGTGTGTGTACATATATTATTAAAAAAGATTTGAGGACATTTGTTTTTTCAATGTGTTTGATTAACAGTTTCACCTAAGAATTCTTTGATGATACAACTCATCATCATCATCATTTCCCCCGTGCCGCAAAGGCTCCCACCTACGGTGGGGTAAGGGGGTCAGATGTACGCAGTCTTATCCTTGTACTAAAGTATAGAGAGACTGTTTCCAGATGACCCTCTTTGATGATACAACTAAAACCAAATAAATCTCATTCAATTTAAATGCTCTCATTGAGGTGGTCTGATCCAGTTGGATCATCTTCCCCCAGTTCACAATAAGTGTTGTTTTAAGTTTTTGACAAATTGAAATTCCCTTTAAGACCCGTATTTAATATTTTCGCTCTCAAGAAATTTAATACTCTTACGGTGCAAAACCAACCAAACTACTACAATTACAATTTACAATGGTGGAAAAACGGGACTTAATTACGGCTTAACCTTTTGGGACATGTGTTCACAAAGACTGGCAGTATTCTGGTTGAGTTCTTCTATTCTTGTTTCTAGCTCTTCAATTTTATTTTGAAGATCTTTCTCCTTTTCCAAATATGAATTTGTTGAGGTCTCGAGAGCATTTTCCTTCATCTTGATTTGACCCTGTTTGGCACCATAAACATTAGCTGTCACTTTCCAAAATAGAATACTATTAACAATTGAAACATTATCAAACTTGACCAATTATTTCTAAACATGTAATGGCAAAAAAAAAGAGGAAAGAGGTCTTCCATTATACGTTTCAAAACCATTTCTAGTACATTTTTCAAAACATATTCTTGTCGGGGAAAAGGAGAATCCTAATACAACAAAAGAAAAGGCTTATTTTTATTGATTTTCCTCGGAAAAATAACGTTCCAAACTTCCAAATAAGATAAATATGTTCAAATGTAGAAACAAATAGATGTAAAAATATAACAGGATTGATAGCTTAGAAAGAGTACTATATTAGGATTTGGGCCTCTATCCTAAAATGTATACATTATACTTTATATGTTGGTTTGTAAATTAAATTTGTTTAATGTGGATGGCTCAAGAGTACTTCACCAAAATGCATTAGCTAAAACATGTTTCTTTTCTTTTGGGATGAAGTGATCATTCAATAAACCTTGCTGTAGATTTAAATTTACCTCGAGCAACTTGATTTTCTCCTTGAGACTAGTAACCTCATGGGAAGCAAATGTACATTTATCTTTCCTTGAACAAGCTCTTAATGTGTCTTCTTTCTTCTTCAGATCACTCTTTAAATTGGACACCTCTTCCCTCAACTTATCTTTCTCCAACTCGTCCTCAGACATACGGCTATTCAGCTCACTATGCTGCTCCCTAAGAGCAACCATCTCTAACCGAAGGGCAGCTACTAACGTGTCTTTCTCATTCATGAGGCGTGTCATATTGTTCATTCCTTCTATACACTCCTCCACCTTTTTATGCATCGAGACAAGCTCATTTTCAAGTTGACTTTTCTCTAGCCGGAGCTCATTTGCTTCGGTCAACGCTTTGGTAGCTAGTTTCTCATTGGCCTGAAACGTGGATGCTATTTGCACTGAGAGCCTTTTAAGTTCTTTCTGAAGCTTCTCTGCTGTTTTGGCATTTTGCAACCTAGTCTTTCTCAGTTCTTCTTCGGCGCATATGGCTCTTTTCTCTTGCTCTACCTGTTAAAGTAGAAACATAACTATCACAGTTTTAGTAATACTAAAGCTTCCTACCTGAAAAAATAGGAATATAGTTATTGCTAAATTGGGCCTAGCTCACCTCAAAATGATCGTTTTGGGTTTTCACCTACATTTTAAACATCCGATGTGGACACTAACCAGGATGGAGAACTTGAGAGGTAGACAAATTACCAAACCTCAGTCGGACCAAGTTCTGATACAACGTTGAATTTGATCCACTCCAGATAAACTTTCAAAAGATGAGGTTTCGTAGTAAACATGTGGGATACTTAGCATTTTTTCCTATTGCTATTAGGTTTCTATTCTTTCCATGTTTAGCTCTATTATTGATTTTAAAAGCATTGCAATAGTTTCTCGAAATTATAATAATAAATTCAGTTATATACTTATATCACTAAAAGTAGTATTTTATTAACTACCTTAGCATTAGAGAGAACTTCTAGATTGGTTTCGAATTGCTGAGCTCTTTTTTCAAGTTCTTCCTCTAAGGCGTCAATCTGGGCATATGATCCGGAAGAACATTCGCATTGCATGTTTAGCTGTTCCTGCAACTGGCTCTGCTCTAGTTTATGCAACAAGTGGTGGTTTTCCTGCTTCAGGATCTCATAATCAAGTGCTAACTGCTCCATTTGGCTTTCTAATTCGTCTTTATCTCTTCGGTAGATCTCCAGTTCGTTCTCGAGGTCCATGATCTTTTGCTCAAGCTCGTATGATTCTATGCCATCACCATGGTGTCTCACAAGCTGTTCCAGTGTTTTTTGTTCTTCATCACCATCATCTTTGTAGCTGGTGTTGCCAGTGACACTGTCATGATTAAAGTTAGAGTTTGTAAATTTTTAGGACAGTCCCCTTTTGGAACACGGAAAATGCTAGGGAAAAACAATGATTTGTTTTACATTTGTTCAAATTCTTTTTTTAATTATATAAAGACAATGAAATCTTAACATATGTAAAAAATTAAAACAATCTATCATATTTCGGTTTAGTTTCTTTTCTAAAGGTAAAACCAAATATAAGGAAAAAATCTCTTAGGTTTTATTTCATTTCTCTGACCTTTTCCTGGACCCAAACAGACCCTTAGCATCTGTTTGGAAACCGGAAAATGTTAGAGAAAGAACACATGAAAAATCATGAAACAAAGAAAATCCAGTGAAAATTGAAGTTTGGTTAAAACTAAACTAACCTATTTAAGATAATTTTTAAAACTCATTTTATTTATACACACATGTATAAATTTTTCATCATTTCCAATGGAGCCAAAAACTATTTTTTGGCTTGGGAATATGATGAAAAAACGCAAAATGGCTCACTAAACTCTCAGCGCTTCTTGTTATGAAGCAGCAGTCAATCCATTCAAATTTTGACGCAATGGGTCATTGGGAAACAATCTCTCTGTGCTCTAGTACAGGGGTAAGACCGTGTACATCCGACCCCCCTTACCCCACCGTAGGTGGGAGCCTTTGCAGCACTGGGGTAATGTTTTTGTTGTTGTATTTATGTTGTATAAAGGCTAAAAATCTAAATGTCTATACCATTAAAAAAATCTGTTATTTTGATCATATTTTCATGGTCATTAATGTGAAACCTAATAAATAAATAACATTCATTGGCATTATTTCCCATTTTCCTACCATTTTCCAGGTGCCAAACATAGCCTAGATATATTCTCTGAATTGCTGGATAGCTTCGTGATCTCCTTATCCTTCTGTTCCAACAACTCTTCAAGATCACGAACAGCAAGAATCAACTCAGAGTTTGACTCTTGTGTCTTCTCTAGTCGTATTTGAAGGTTAGCATTAAGATCCTTGTGATAATTCAATTCTTGTCTAAGTTCATGAACAAGTGTGTGAACATCCCGTCCATCGAGCAACTCGTCTTTACATTTTGCATCATCCAAACGCCTCCTAGAGGCTTTAAGTTTCTCACATTCTTCTTTGAGAGCATCACGTTCCTCTATGACAATAACCATTTCTCTTGAAAGATCTTGTGATCTTTTACTCTCCTTTATGATTTGCTTGCGAAGAGTTTGTAGTTCCAAGTCACAAACCTCGGCTTGCCTCGTCAGCCACTCACATTGTGACCTGTGAGACAAACCATTGTTTGGAGAAGATAATAACAAGCTATTCTGAACTTTGAGGCAGTTATTGTTTATCGCTTCAAATTCGTGGGGTGTATCTAGCCCGGAGCTACTATCAGAACTTGACAGTGTGATGTCAGATTCACTAGAGGTCCTTCCCACATTCATGCCAACAAGCGAAAGATTTCTATTTATTTGTGTTTCCTGTCAAAAAGTAATAATTATTATAATTATAGCATTATAACATTATTAAGATGTCAAATGCAAACAGATGATGCATTTCCAGAAAACACACTTTTATTAGCTCTGTTCTAAAAGTCCCCATGTAGGCGTTGGCCTCTTATCTTATTCATACATCAGCTTGTATATGTTGTTTCTCTTACAAGATTACCAAAACAGAACTCAAGAACAAAGATGTGATTAATCGCTCACTGCAGTGTAAAATAAAAATCATCATAGTCACCATAGTCACCATGGTAAATACCATTATGGTAACTGCGCGTTAAAGTCTTTTTTTATTTGTTTTTGTTTTAGTCATAAATTTGTCATTATTCCTATTTAAAATGGTTTGGAAGTAGTTATTGTGCAAGCTATACCAAAGTCTAGCTCAACTAGTGCAATGAGCATGTTAAAGTATCCCACATCAAGGACTCACCAAATCCCACCCATGAACTTCCAAACTTTATTGTGAAGGTTTTAAGGTGAAGACTCATTAGTAGTCCAACTCTTATATGTTATTGCGCAGTTAGGCTTATTTAAATATAAAACTGTCTATGCATATAGTTCATGATGATTCGATAATGAGACCTTACATTAACAGGGTTGTCTTCGTAACATTCATCCATGTCCTCATTTAATTTTTCCTTCAAAGTCTTATCCTCAGCATCTGGTTTTACAGTCTCACTTTCATGATTAACACTATGAATGACACAAAGAAGATTTAAGATCAAAATTTAAATAAAAGACCTAAGGATATAGGAACTAACAAGATTTAGAATTCAGTCATCACCTCTGGTTAAATGAATCATGGATTCTCTGTATCGATACCTATAAGGGCTCAATAACAAAAACTCATTAGATCAGTTCTGAAATGAAAAAATGTCTGTATCACCAATGATGAGGAAGAATAGGATTTACATGCAACATGGCCCCTGTTTTTGAATTTTTGAGTGGGAGAGACACTGATGAAACCTTAGTTGTCTCGGCATAACTCGAAAAATCAATGGTAGCTTCTCCAACAATTCCAGATTTCAAAGATCCCTAAAACTCCCAATATAAAGCATATAAGTATCTGTGTTGTTACTACCACACATTGAACATATATGAAAAAGACAAATAAATGTTTAAGCTATTATTTTACTCCCATCAATCAGTTGACATCTTAGGATATAATATGAAGTCTTAATATAAGAAATCTAAGAAACACTTGAAATGACTTGAGGTCACAAATGAGGAAGCATAAGTACTCACGGTAGCAACTATAAAGTTATAGATTCTCTCATGGATCTTCCCTGATTTAGGGTCACGAGTAAGCTTCATGGTTTCATAAACCGCATTCTCCCAAAAACAGCTCCCATCTTGAACTTTGGCCTTCTCTAGTTTCACTGTCGGCTTCCCAACATCAGCAGGAACCACAGAGATCAACAATGCATCCCCTGCTGCTACCTGTGAATCCCGAAGCAACTAATTCAAGAAAGAGGAATAGCTAGGGGCCAAGGCTAGTGCAGGCCCACCACATTGGTACTGGTGGAAATCAACCACCAGGAGTCTAATTGGTCACTCATGATTCACATTGGTCAAATCATTAAAAAATGGATTACAATTGAGATAGCCTAACTCAGAGTCTTATAAACTCATCTATCCATCTTAAATCTTTCAATTAGAGATTCTTGAAATTGACACTGAAATGCAGCTATGTCTGAAGAACATTTGTTGCCATATTTCTGATCACAAAAAAAAATCAATGGGGAATTTCTAATTCTCTAATTACATTTTCTTCAACAATGCACTGCGGTTCATCATTCCATATCAAGGATGGTAACTTAAATGACAGGACAACTCAAACTGAAATTAAAATCCTGAGTCTCTTCTAATTTAAAAAATACCTTAGTCACACGGAACTGCAGCTTGAAAACAGCTTTGATCTTCACCTTTTCGCTACGCCATCGCGCAGACTTAAACATTTTTCAATTCTCACATACACATTTACCTCGGCGGCTCGGCCTATGTCCCTAGACCCGCCGGAGCTCCGGCAGAACTAATCGGAGTTTAACCATAAACACCAAAGATCACGACTTTTTCCGAAATGGGAGTTGCCCGCTTCGTCTATTGCAGTGTGGAGCGCTGTGGTCGAGATATAGAGAGGGAGAGAGAAGTGTGCAAGTGAGTTGACTCGGTATAAAATGCGAGTATAACTCGGAATGTAACTGAGCTCCTTCTATGGGAAGCAATGCATTGAGCAGTAATGGATGGAAATGAGAACGAGTAAACAGCAAACAATTGAACAGATCCGAGTCGGTGCTGTTTCTCTCTCTTTGCCGCGAAGCTCAGGACTTTCTCTCTCTATATCTTGTGTACGTAACAGTTTTTTCCCTTGTAAAAAAAAAGAACCAGCTCATATTTACATTAAATTCTGTAAAGATGACAAATAAACCGATGCCTTTGTATATTTTTGGGGAAGCTTCTCTGTCCAGAATTAAAAAACTAAATTACGTTCAGTACCTTTTGCTTTTTAACTTTTTCTTACAATATGTCCCCGATAGTTGAGAATTCTTGGGAGGAGATATGGACTTTTGATACATTTTGAATGAAAATGAAAGGGATAAGTGTCAGATAGAGCCTCGAACTTGAAAAAAAATGTCAAATAATGCCATATTTAGGATGCTCTGTCCGGCCGACGCCATTTGGGACGGTTTCCGGTGGAATTTTTTGATGAATTTTTTTTAGAATCTTATTCATTAAGTCATCCCGATTAAAGTTTTAGTTCAAATTTGATATGAATAAACTAGACTTAATGAATACGATTCTCAAAAAATTTCATCAAAAAATTCCACCGGGTACCGCCCCAAATGGCGTCGGCTAGACAGAGCATCCTAATTATGGCCTTATTTGACTTTTTTTTTTCAAGTTTGAGGCCCTATCTGATCCTTTATCCAAATGAAAATGAATTTTATACGGAGTATAACTGTAATATAACGCCAGAAGTAAGAAGAACGCATATTGAGAACTTACCAAACGTAAACTGCCTTTCTTTCTCATCACTCATTCCTCTTTACCACCTTACCAGATGCTCTTTGGTTTTATTTTTGTAAGCTCAAATTCGAGGGATCCAATTGTCCATATACCTAATTACTAGAAAATTAATTCCAAGAACATTTTCCCCTCCTCTTCTACCTTTATCCTATGTTGTAAGAACCGGAAAGAAAGATGATCCAGAGAATTTACCGGGTCAAGGATCTACCCGATCAACGTCAGCTATTAATAAAACATAAAATATTTATAATTATAATTTGATTATTAGTGCAAGGTTAAAAACTATTCCTATTCATAAGATAATAATAGTTAAAACTACATAATATATGAAAACGGACATCTCCCTCTTTAGGGTTTCGGCATTTGACGTCCTTGGGTGCTGCTACTTTCCCAACCGGTGAGAGAGTTACGAGATACACACGTACGTTTAGGTGGCATGCACTAGGTTTTAGCGCAGGCTGGTGTTCACTCGACAATGGAAGAGGTTTCACGGCAAGAATGAGGTGAAGCAAGTGAGGCGTCAAAGGCTTCTGGTCCGGTAGATCAATTAATCAAGCAGTATGATGGCCTGGATATTGGTGCAGCGCCAAACGAGTTGGTGAATGAATGATGATGATGATGATGGGGTGGACGGGGATGGAAGAAAACCGCACAGTAGAATTCCTGATGGTCGGTTTGCTTCTCACGGATAAGGTGGTGCGGTTTCAAAATTTCAAAGATCTCATGGCAGCTCTGTGGCGTCCAGGAAAGCGGGTCTCGATCAAGGAGATTGGCGAGAAAAGGTACCTCATAAAAGTCTACCACTATGTTGACATGAATCATGTTCTAGACAATGGTCCATGGCTGTTTGACCAGAATTTACTAGTGTTAAGGGCTATTAAACAAGGGAATATCCCGCTTATGGTCCCTTTGGATTCAGCTTATTTCTGGGTACAAGTGCACAATGTGTCATATGATTATGTTAATCTTGGAACTGCTTGGAGGGTTGGAAATTACTTAGAAACATTTGTTAGTTGGGATGACAACCAGTTTGATGACAAGTTGGAGGCTTATATAAGGGTTCGGGTTTATTTGGATGTGGGCAAACCCCTGAAAGTTGGCACTGTCACTAAGAAAAGTAAAGAGGGGGGAGGGGTATTGGGTTGATTTTAAGTATGAGAAGCTTCCAAGTTTTTGTTTGATCTATGAGGTCATTGGACATGCAGAGAAATTTTGTTCGTTAATGTATGAGAAAGGAGATAAGGCCTTAGCCAAACCATTTGGCGGTCGCTACATGCGGGAGGAATAAGTGGTTGATTACATAAGGGAGCTCAACAACAGGAGCATGCAACAAGACACATATCTTCAGGACAGATTAGGACCTAGGTTCAAAACACAAGGAGGATGACTACCAGGGATGATACATTTTATGGAGGCTATGATTGTAACACCGACCCCGAGCATATTTACTTTTAGTAAATTATGTAATAAACCTTGAAAGATGATTTATGAATTTGCGTAATTGTAAATTTTTATTATTTCTTTTACGTGAATAGTAAATTGCACGTGGGGCCCACAGCGGGAACGGGGACCGCCCGATAATTCCCGAACCACGTATTATATTCATCTTGGTCTAGATAATATGTATATGGTGGTGGATATTTTATTTGGGCCATAATGAAGGTATGGAGTTGACGGGTTGGTCAAACGGGACCCAATTACCGGTATTGGCAAATTAACGGATAACAGCCCGAAATGAGTTTCGGAGGCTCCTAAATTAATGTTGGGGAATGTACATCGTTTCTAAAGGCCCATAATTATTAGGAACACGTGATATATTTTATCCGGCCCGATAAAATAAAATATGACTAAAACAGTCCGAGAAATACAACTTTCGGGGCCGATTATACATACCGGAACTTAATGGGATGACCTCCCACATGAGTGGGGGCCACCCCACGTTTTTATGCATCACAAATGACTGAAGGAGAGCTGGGAGGGACAACCAAACATGGTTGGTGCGGACTAGAGGATGGGAAGCCTCCTAGGGACAAAAACCCACACCTCATGTCCCATTCCTTGGCTTATCTTGAGGGTGGTTGTGTGGAGATACTCCTCCCCTATCCCTCACAATAATTTCGGCCAGAACAAGAGGAGGAACTCCAGGAAAAAGCCAGAGCTCAAGCCTTAGTTGGAGGGAGGGAAAAGCTAGGAAAAATCCTCAAGGAATAGTTGAGTTCAAGGTAAGAACTCCACAACTATTAGTTAACTAGTTTATTGTTGTATGATTTTTTAAGAAATCATATGGTGGAATAAACAAGATGTTCTACACGTTTAAAAGTGTAGAATATTGATATAAAGTGGTGATATTTAACTTAGAAGAGTTGGTGAATCGATAGGAGTCGAAATCGCCGGAAACCGCCACTTTTAAGGGAGCTGCTCGTTTCTGCAGAACACGAAAGCCGCCCGGCTTTCGTGAAAGCCGCCCGGCTTTCGTGAAAGCCGCCCGGCTTTTGCCCAGCAGCTCAGTTTTACACCTTCAATCGGCCTAGAACGGGGATTGATCGAGGAGCTTAGCAAAGGCAACTATTTCAGCACTTCATAAGGTGAGGATGGCTGACTATATTGCTTATAATTAGTGAGTTAATTTCATAAGAATGCCTAAAGTAATTAGATGGGATTTTCATGGACTATTAAAGATTAATAATGTCTAAATGAAAATAATATGAATATGAATAAGTGAAGCATGACATACAAATTTAGGATAATTGTGTATGATTATGTGAAATGAATGGAATGGCATGTCAATGGAATTACTAAGATGACATTGTGATAAAATATCCTTTACTTCATGAATGAACTTCATGAATGGTTTAAAGTGATATTTTTTATATTGAGATTAAACTATACTTGGGTTGAGAAATCAATGGAAATGAAATGCAATATGGGGAATAGGAACTTGGCATGTTCTAAGGTTATCCTATTAGTATCAAAATACTAGTCGGGGAATTAATATAAATAAATGATGAAATAAATCCTAAGAGGTAGGATTGTGGATAGATATGCCTTAAGTAGTCTCAAGAGATACTTAAGAATGAATGACATGAACACTAAGGAGTGTTTGGGGGTAGGCCTAAAGGCCACCTCCGGAAATTGATTCTAGGCATAGGACTTGCTTGAGAATTTGATTATGAAAATAAATAGAGTTGGACTCTAGGATGACATGGAGATGTAGTTGGGACGAGCCCATGCCATGTAATATGATTAGCATGGAAACGTAGTTGGGCCGAGCCCTTGCCATGTATATGTGACCTCCGTGGAAACGTAGTTGGGTCGAGCCCTTGCCACGAAGTTATGGTTGGTATGGAAACGTAGTTGGGCCGAGCCCTTGCCATACAAATGTTGATATGATACATCGAGTTAGAGGATTGTATAGAGATATAGTTGGGCCGAGCCCATGCTATACAATTGGGGCTCGATGGGACCCCACGGGGTTATCGTGACTCGCGGTCACGGGGGAATGAGAACGGTGAATTCTAAATGAATATGGGCCTACGGGCCGACTACTTGACTTTATGTAAAGTAAGTACAGTTAAAGGTAAAAAGGGGTAACCGAGGGTTATGGCCTATAATGTAATAGTACCCTAAGTCGGGGGTCTTGGAAATTAAAACGTTGATTATACTTAGTATAGTTGCTATTGTACTTGTCAAATATTTCCAAGTACTGACCTTCCCTTCACGGGGGAGGCCACCTCACAGTTTCAGGTAGGACTTGAAGGTTGCTACCGGCGTCCGTTGTTTCAGGGATTTTCAAGGGAGAAGACGTGGTTCGTGCTTCTTCTGTTTCCTGTTTTCAAAACAATTATAACAATGCTCATGGATATTATTTTTGAATAACTATTTGGGGGCTTGTATGCCCATGTTTGCCAGAGTGTGGCTAAGACATCTTTATTAAATGCTTCCGCTTTTTTAAATGAATGATTTACATTATGCTTGTTTATGGATGTACTATGTGTGAATGGTATTCATGACGCCTTGTATAGTATGGATGAGTTGGACTGCGGTTGACTATTCGTACTGTACGGCGAGTTGTTGACGTGTCCGGCTAGGTCCGGGGCGTGACAATTTAATTGGTATCAGAGCCTTAGTCCGTAAATATCATAATGAAGCTTCAAAATTTCTTTTTGAAAATGAATTTGAAAACCATGAGCATAATGTTTTGTACTTATAGAACTTTTGGTACTTGAGTTGCAATGTCTCTAATTGTTAAGATGGTACCCTTAACAATTGGTATGGCGGTGATTTGAGCCAAGGGATGTCTTTAAGTACCTATCTGTCGATTGACATTTGATACGAGTCTAATGACTCATTCTCAATTTCTTTCAGAAATGGA